AGTGCCTTTCTCACAGTGACCTCGGGTTCGAGAACTGGAGGGTGTGAAAAGGATAGATCATCTGCTTCATCGAGACCTTCACGGAGGTCTGGGTATTTTCAGTGGCAGTAGTAGATCTTGATGATGATTTCAATCACGACTTCTTGTGGGATGTCTTCTTCATTTTAGCCAGCTTTTGTAGACTAGAACCAGCCTCAGGAGCTTTCCTCTTGAGGCGGGACTGCGACACTACCTCACTCTGAGAGGCAGAAACCGGAGAATCCTGTGCAAAGAATTCCAATGGAGAATGTGAATTATCAGATAAGGCAATCATCTCTTCCCCTGATTATAATAACAGGGTTAACTCATGTTCAATAGGCTGTACCATACCCTTGTCTGCCGAGGCTTTAGAGCCATCATGCTTCTTCTTATCCATCTTCTTTCGCAAACAAGAGAATATGTATTTATTAAACAAATATTCAGACAAATGAGTGCAATATATACTCCGTGAAGTAATGGAACATGATGTGGAAACGCAAGAAGAGCACACAGGGTGTGGATCAGATGCAGTAGTATAAGGCCGTAGAAGGGACCCGAGGTGCCAACCCAACCGTCCAGGTGGTAGATGGGAGAGAGAGTGACAACATGGCCGTTGGTCACATTGGACAAATGGTGGGAAAGGAGGCAAAGGGGCCCCGTTTGAGTAATTCTTTTTACTGATTTTGGGGACATAGTAACAGAGGTTTCCACTCAACCTTTTGAGGGAAAGGGAGATATCTTAAAGCAATAAGTACGAGTCAGGATAAGGAACAATCACGCCACTTGATTGTTGAATCTGTTAATCCTCACCTTTGATCTTTTGGTAGCATGTTTATGAGCATGACTTTTGATTGCGAGATTGAAGTGTTAAGTTGCAAGAACCAACTTCAAGACAAAAGGGTAAATTTGTACTTATTGGAGCTTTTGGGGACCCTAAAATGAGTTCAACACAAACAGGATTCGATATATCTGCTTCGAGACATTTTGGTAAAAATATTGATAAATATAAGAAATCGACAGGGACTGATAGATGAGTTCGACACTACCGAGAATTTGTCTTCTCCACCGATTTCGAGACATTGCACTGTACTTGAGAAAGATTTACAGCCTACCTTTAGAATACAGCACCACAAACTTTACATATACATCATCTTACCCTTCTATGTAATTTTATGTGATGTTGTTCGAAGGCACATTCTCGAAACAATACCCCATGACGCCGAATAGCAACATGGTCTAGCTCAACGAGTGTGTATAAGCTCCGCTCACTGGTGTTTCATCTCTACTAACTATGTCATTGCATAAGCCCAACGATGCTGAGAGTTTCCAGTAGTTGATATACTGGCGAATGCACCATTTTTGCAAGCACCAGTTTGAAATATGTTTCTTTTATCACTAATACGCTCATATGTATTTGTATTACGGGGTGCTGAGGTGTTATATTTTGTGTATTTTCGTATTTTTTAAATTTAGCGAGAACGCGTTACACCGGTCAATATTATATATATTCTATTATTCGCAATTTTGGTCAATATAATTATTTAATTTATGTAAATATATTTTATATTTTAGTTTCTACGTAACTACATAGGTCTAAATGATTTACCAATGTAAACTGACATGCATATATATTTTTATTCATTCAGTTATATGCACCATCACATAGAAAAGATTTTATTAGTATTTTATTTGGAAGCGGTAATAATGCATTACACAGGACACGTCAGTCATGTTCGTGCCGGTTCGGTCAATGGATTCTATTTACTAGGATTATTTCAAGGGGTTAGGGTTAGGGTTAGGGTTAGGGTTTAGGGTTAGGGTTAGGGACCTAATCCAATATAGTAGGTACATGTTCGGTGTAATACGTGAGTACCATTTGTCGTTTTTCCTTTTGTATTTTAATACTTTTTTTCACACAAAAATGTCGAAAGTACACTATAAAATGGTTTAATGTAGAAATTTTGGGCTAATGGAAATTGGCCTGGAATTTGCACTCAAGCCTCTTTCACACCCAACATTTGTTCAGTAATGATTATGAAGGCTAACTCAGCCTCGTGCCGTCACTAGACATGTTCATGTCTCCCTCGTTCCTCAGTGCAATCCACATTATCCTTACAGTGGTCCCTGCATCACTTCTCTGTCACAAAATCAAACGATTTATGTAAAAGCGCGTCATTCATGCATGCACCGTGAAATTGACATCTGACGCCAGACGCCAACAACAATTTTCAGTTTGAGGCACATCGGCTCATTCCACGCCACACTGTATATTGTAGATTGTAGAATGGGAAGAGTGTGCCAAATGGCATCGGGTCCATTCGGCAATTGTCCGTAGATTAAAATCACGAGACACAAAGTCTACCCGTAACCTTCGTAATTGTCCGGGACCTATTCGACTCTTTCCATTCATTTCCGTGACGTCACAGGAATGACTCGATAAATTTGCACATTGTGTAACAGTGTGGATGTAGCTCATTGGGTTAGCTGTCGAGCTAACAATCCAAAAGGTCACAAGTTTGCGTCCGACGGGTTCCCACAAACTGGTTGCTTGTCTTAATGACATGTGACCTACGGCAGAGATCGAGGGATTTACCTCGAGTTCTGTATTTGAGGGTACATGTGACTCATATTTTAAATTTTCAGGGGTCCTTGACACTTAAATATTATTATTAATACTGTTATTGTATTGTGTATCATGATCATCACCTTGCGTCCTTGTGGATTCGCTAACAAATTTCGTTGCGTCCATTGTCAATTTTTAAGCGTATAGGACACAGGAATTTGCGTCCTGTAAATGCCTGAGAGATCGTCCTCACGAGAAGTTGTTGTGCTGTATGCTAAAGGTGCTCCAGATTTACTACAAGAAAGCTGATCACAAAGTATCTTCAAGTTGTCATTTTAAGACAGACAATACACAGTTAAAGTGTTACTGGGATTTAAAGAATGGCTTTCATCTTCACAAGAGTGAAGGATCATCATCATCATCATCATCATCTCAAGTTTAACGGTAGCTTCGGGCATTAGCTTATGTCAGCGACGGGGTGAGGAAATACAGCACAGAACTGACTTATATACACGAGCAGCTGGAGCTGAGGTGAGGTGAAATTGGGTTTAACGTCATGCTTGAGAATATTTCGCTCATATGACGACGCACGAGCAGCTGGAACAAAATACAGATAGCAGATAGGATTAATTAGCAATGATGGATGGAGTGCTTTTATCTGTTCATCAAATTTGTACACATGTACTTAGGGCGGTCAGGAAGTTTGTGCATAAAAATATCTAAAAATTACGCTTAAAAAAACGGGAATGGGGTGTCATTGTTTTTGTACCTGGGGGTGTGTGTGTTTGGCACTTCCTTTGTACATAAATTTGGGGGGGTGGGGAACGGTCCCATCATGTTGTGATTAGGACAGTTGATGATGTGATCTGAGATAGCTGATTTTTTTGTTTGATTTATATATGTTACATGTTGCTTCTGAGCTGTATTACTTCACTCTTGCTTGACAACAGCATAAGAAACTATATGAAAACATTGCATCATAATATAATAAAGAAGTTACATGTTTTTTCTGCCAAGTATCATAGATTTCTTATTATTATTACGCAAACCTTCCTATTCTTAACCACATTGTATTGTTGTTCTGCTGCAGATTGAAACATATGTAACTCGACTGTATAGGCCTATGGCCTTTCGTACAATAAAGCATTGATTTGGATTGAATCAACTTCTAAAATGCCAATCAAACAGATGATTTTTGTGTACAAGTAACAATAGAAGTGGTAGTGGTTTTGGAAACAGGCATAATGTTTTGAAATCATAGAATCCTGACATAAAACAGACGCAATTGATTAGCCAAATTTTCTTCACTGGAAATTGAAGCAAACAATGTTACTAGTTTCATCTCTCTCAAACAAATGTCAGTTAGTTCACATGAGCCGAACAGATTTTGATGCTGCTGGACACTAGCCTTACAGCCTATAAATTAATCCAGTTTTTCTGATTTCATTTCCATTTAAAATGCATACATCAGGGGTATCTACTCTACAGTGGGAAGTTATCAAATATCAATGTCATTTCAACAATAATGGCAACATATCATCTCGACCTGTTTCACATCTTCAGTGTTTGGACTCATCAAGTAACACACAGGTTAAAACTAATTTGGTTCAGATCAGGCAATTTGGAAGGCCAGGGATGGCCACTGATGTTACACGAGTTGTGTGGGATCGAGCATTGTCATTTTGAAACAGCTCCCTCTGGTGGCAAAAAGTGGAGGGGGGTGAGGTTGAAGGATTTGGTCCATGTAGCGATTTGCTGTAAGATTGCCTTGAACCACCACTAGCTCTGATCTACCTGTGTAGAATATGGCTCCCCACACCATGACGTTTTCTGCACCAAGTCTGTCCACCCGTCAAACAAAGTTTGGCGCACCAGAATGTTAAATTTACCAAGAACATGTCTTGCTTCCATCTGGTAAGTGTATAAGTCTTCCAATGATGATATGGATATTTTTTAGTTTAGGACTATTAACTTGCTTGAGGAAATCCCATCTAATACCTTGGAGTCCGGTAAGTTTGGTACTGTTTTCTCTTCAGAATAGGGAAGGAGAGGAGTGTCATGACTAAGTTACTGTAGATTGTCAAGGCCTGATCAATTATTCTCTGTGTGTCACGGTAAAATCCATGAAGGGGAATCACAGGGGTAGCATCTGAGTTAAGGAGATCAGAACTACGTGTAAGGGTTGGCATATATGAATACAAGGTCTCCTACACATCTGCAATGATAGATGTTCATTGCATGAGATTGTGTGAAACATTTGCCTGAAACCCTATTGGGGTACCCCTGAAGGGTGTTTATCAGGTAGTAAGTCTTGAAATCTTTAATATCTGCCATAACCAATGCAGGGGGCAGTAGAAACTAAATATTTGAAAGACACTTCTGGTGTAAGGTTTTAAGATAAAAGAACTGTGTAACTTACCTGTGGTTATTGTCACATCACAATTCTGTTTGAAGCGAACACCTCCACACACCATGTACAAATCGAGGGTTTCAGTTTGCGTCACTGATATGGTCACATTTCCTTCACTATCATCTAACCCGGTTAGTGTTCGAGAGGGGGTGACATTGGCATTGCCAAGTTGAAACAGTGAAGCAGATGAACAGTAATACTGCTTTATGTAAACCATGATGGCCACCTGACTGCCCTCCTTCAAACTGTCCAAACTGCTCGTGCTGTTGATGACACATGCTGATGACTTCTCTGAAGAAAAAAAAAAGTAGCTTTGTACCACCGTTTCTAGAGCTATTTAAGTTAAAGTACCTTTAAATATTGGCAGATCTATTTCATTGCAACAACTCACAGTCATAGTTTGGGTTCATGGATTAAAATATGGGAAAAAAACCACCACATTCAAAGCATGATTGATGTGCGATTTCTGAAGAATGTAACAATGCTATTTATGTCATGCTGTTGAAAATAAAAACATATTTGGTCATTCCTCTGATCAATGTTCAAACCCAATAAACCATATAATTTGAATAAAACCATGGCAAAAAGACCATTTCTATTTTCAGGGCTAAAATAAACAGAACTTCAGGATGATGCAATTTAGTTCCATTTTTTTGTCTCATCAAGTTAAGATTTAGCTGAAAGAGAACTATCCTCTATCAATATGGAGAAGCTGTTCTTACATATTTGATAGTACAGATGTCTATTTATTGCATATGTATGCATATATATACTGAGAGGTAATAAAAACGCATATCAGGAATAAATGTCAGATATATTTCTCATTTGTCCAAAAATTATATATGACGGTTCAGGAAATGGCATTATGATGCATTTTCAAGTGGCTTGAACTATACTGATAGTGACCCTAAACACCAAAGGCTTTTCAATGGGGTGACAGAGTCTGTACAACTGCTGCAACTCAAGCCCATGTTCGAGCTCTTGTTACATCTAGGCTTGACCACTGTAACAGCATCCTTTCAGGCTTCAGTTCTAAACACCTTGATAAGAAGATCCAAAACACTTCCGCCTGCATCATCAGCAAGACTTCTAAACGTTCCAATATAACCCCAGTGTTGAAAGAACTGCACTGGCTACCAGTTAGGGCCAGAACTGACTTTAAGATCCTCTGTCTGACATACAAGTGCCTCCATGGTTTGCGTCCTCCTACTTGTCTGAACTACTCTATATGTCACTGCACACAACTTGCACTCAAACACACAAAATCTACTGGTGATCCCATCCTACAAACTGAAAAGATACCGATCATTCTCTTACACTGCACCTGTGCTTTGGAACTTGATACAAAGTCCATGTTGACAGGAACTCTCTCCTATGTGTCATTAAAAGCTCGGATACAATTGACATTTTCAAGTCCAGACTTAAAACCCACCTTTTCTCAGTATATTACGTATAATTTCAGCTGTAAATACTCCAGTGTAAATATTCTGTTGTGCTTTGAGCATGCCTTAGCGTGTGGAAAGGGAGCATTATAAATATGCATTTATTATTATTATGTTTTACAGAGTAAAGATGGAAATGCAGCAGAGAGGGTTCGGGTGATCCTGGCACAGTCAGGCTGGTAAGACTCATTATCAGCTTACGGCCCTCACCCCATCTACACGCAGCCCAGACAGCAAATGGGACTTCTCCCAGGAAACACTGCCTAGTCAAACCCACCAAGAACTTTCCGGAGAATATGAAGGCTCCCCAACACTGCAGCCTTCCGCATTACCCAGAGTGTCAGAAGGGCTGTGCTCCCGATGGAGAACCCAGGCACTCTCCTGATCTGCACCAAGAGATCAGGAGGTACCAAACCAAGGGCACCGAGAACAATGAGGAGCCTGACAACAGTGTACTTTGGATGCAAGCCAGACATTTCAAAGGCAAGGTCTGCATATTTATCATACTTTTCCTGAATCTTGCCAATCACATTGGTGTCAAAAGGGACAGAAAATTCAATGATATAAATAAATTCATTGGCTTTATCAAAAAGAACAAAATCAGGTTTGTTAGCTGGAATTCTTCTGAGGCTGTATATGGGCCTATTCCACAGAACTTTGAAAGCATCATTTTCCATGACGCCCTGGACATGTTCGGGGTCGTACCATGGATGGACCTCAGGGTCAAAGCCACAGACATGGCGGAGACGACAGTAAAAGCAACAAGCCATGCCATCATGTCATTTAATGTATGCTGTTTGTGCCAAGGAAGGGCATCCACTGACAAGGTGTTGGACAGTCTCTGTAAATTGATTATACAGTCGGCATTTCATGTTATTATTTTCCTTAAGAATCACATTTTGGTCATTACGAGTGGGAAGTGACTGGTCCTGAGTAGCAAAAAGGAAGCCCTCAGTTTCACATTTAAGACCAGCCGACTTCATCCAGGCAAAGAAGTCAGTGGGATAGCTATTCTGTTCCACCCACTGCATGTACACACGATGCAATTGCTTCTCAGAAAGCTTCTCCACAAAAGACCGACTCTGGGCAGACTTGGTGAAGGTTTCACCTGGTTTACTCCCATCATTGTACTGTCCAGCAGTACATCGCCATCAACAAAATCAACCTCAAATTTCAGATTCTGTCCAACAACCTTGGCACGCTTAAAATAGCTGTGGAATTCCTTGCTTTCATCATGAGTCTTGACATGCATCACCAGAGGATCATCCCATAAATAAATATGTGCAAAAGTACACAAAAGCATTCTATACAGAAGAGCCTCCACATTAATCAAACCCCGACCTCCAGAATTGATTGGCATATATAAACGGTTAAGAGAGGAATGAGGGTGGTGGGCCCTGTTATCAGACATGATCCTTCTGGTCAGGCGGTCAAGACTCTGGATGTCTTGTTTTGTACAATCAACTACTCCAAAGGAACAGGAGAGGACTGGCACAGCAAAATTATTGGTGGCTTTGACCTTGTTTCAGGCATTTTGCACTGAGCTCCGGATTTTCTTTAAGCGAGAGCTCTTTTTGGAGCTTGTCTTGAACTTGCATTCCAAGATAGGTGTATGCCTGATCTTCCACAAGATGCTCAATAACTCCTCCCCACTGTAACTTGACCTATCCCCCATTAGCTACCTTGCCACATTTCAAATGAAGAGTATTACATTTGTCGAGTCCAAATGTCATGACAATATCATTAGAAAACGACTTGACTTGGAGAACCTGCTTTTTCAAATTGGTTTCTCCTTTGGCAAGGAGCTTGATGTCATCCATGTAAAGAAGATGAGTAAGTGGTGTTGGGAATCTGTGCTGAGGAGGTCCGGGGTGGTAACCCTCCTCTTTGTTGAGCAAATAAAAAGGCAAAGGACTGAAGGAGTCCCCTTGGAATATTCCCCTTCTGACGAATAGATTCCGAAGTTTGCACCTGCCCTTGCAAGTACATCTGAAATACATCTGAAGTTGAGTCGACCATCAACTCATTAAAGACTTGAGTAAATCAAGTAGTTGCTCAGGGAGGTCAATACAACGAAAAGACTTGAGAATCCATTCATGAGGAACAGAGTTGTATGCATTTTTGTAGTCAATCCAGCACATAGAGAGGTTGCGGTGATATTATTTAGCCTCTTCCAAAATCATTTTCTGTACAAGAAGTTGATCCTTGCACCCCCAACATCCCTTTCTCGCCCTCTTCTGCTCTCTCTAAATGATATCATTAGCAGAGCAGTATGATGACACAAGGTTTGTCAAACACCCTGTGAATAATTTGTATTGTGTATTCCAACATGTGATAGGGCGGAAGTTTTTGGGATCAGTCAAGTCTTTTTTTTGGAAGGAGCATTGTGCGACCTTTGCAGAACCATGGAGGAACATCACCTGTGTCCACAAGAGAATTGAAACAGTGAAGTAATGGTGTTTGGACACATGGGAATACAGTCAAATCCCGATGAGTCGAATGCCGGTGTCTCGAATATTATGCATAACACGAAGTACCTGTCGCTCCCGACCATTCCCTGCTATTTTTGTCATCATTTGATTTCCGGTTACACAAATTCGTCTCATAAATACACATGATGACTCGAAATGGAAATTTGGTCCCATGAGATTCAAACAATAGTAATCTTGTATACATAAGCCGAAGTCAGTCAATGAGAAGTTAATTGGTGATCCAACTACATGTAACTGATCGAATTAACAAACCAGCGCAGCTCGCACCTTTCCGCTATTGTCGGGTGAGTTCAAAGGGCAGATTAGTGATGTTACGGAAACGAAAGAATTAGCACCTGTCACAACGACGACTCGTCTGACGCTGAAGACGAGACGCACCCTGCTGTCAAACCACCACCATCCGTATCGGAAAAGCGATAAAGTTCTGTGAAGGACTGGAGGAATGTCTCGAGTCGGTTCCAGGTACAAACAACGAACATTTTCCCACTTGGCAAGCGTCGGTGAATTTGTGGATAAATGTAAGGGAAATTCACAGAAACAAACATTAATGTCAGACTTTTTCCAAAATGAGTTCATCTTTTTGTATTAATAAGATTCAATATGGCGGCATGTACAAGTATATCTATCGATTGCCGATAGATTTTGTTCATGGATTTTAAGAGGTAAATGTATTTTGTATTTTATTGTGCTAGTATTGAAATGTGTTCTCATTTGTATAATGTTTGTTTCCATTATCCATTATTATCCATTATCTATGTCACTTAATGTATTGTTGTGCTATATTTAGATATGATGTGCTGAATAAAGGAATTGTTCAATATTGAATCATCTTTTTTTCTACCCTCATCGACATACCTATGTCTCAAATACATCGATAAGCCGAATCTTTTACTTGGTCCCCAGCGATTCGACTCATCGGGATTTGACTGTAGTTTCCAGTACCGGTTTCGAATGCCATCAGGCCCTGGAGCTGTATTAGATTTGGACTTTTTGATGACACTTTTCAGGCAATCTGGTGAGATGTAGCAGACAAACGACCTAGTTACTTTCTCATGCATTGCATGGTCATAATCACAGACCCATGGTGCCTCAAGGTTACAGTCGGAGGGTACAGACCACAACTGTTTCCAGAACCTTTCACTGGCATCCACGGGAGACCGTTTATTATGCTCACCATAACAATTTGTTTTAAGTTGCCTGTAGAAGCGTTTTCATTATTTCTGAAAAGTTTATTTTGTTTGATGAATTTATTTTTATTTTTCCATTTTCTCTTTCTTTCAGTCAAAGCCTTTATTTTTGCCTTAAGGGAATTGACAATTTGAAGAAGTATCTTTTTTTGGTTGTCTTATACTGTAATTTCAATTTTCTCCCTGATGATCTTAACTTCAGGCACAGCTCTATCCAGGAAATGTATTTTCTAGTTTTCGTCAGTTTTACTTGAAACCACTTTTTCTTTGGCGTATTGTTTTTAGTATTAGATGAGTTTTCTTTGGAAACCATGTAATGTTCCTCCAAGGTTTGAGCGGCAGCATAGACACAACAATTCACTTCATGTAATGTACAGTCTGCTGAAAGTTTCATAGAGATAATGTCATTTAATAAATTAATTTCATTGTTGGGAAAAGATTCAGTTGTTTGCTTGATTGGCCTCCGTTTTTCTAAAGGTATGTCGGATATTTCATCATAAATAGAATGAAACAAATTATACACAGGATTTTCGTAAAGATCTGTAACTGAAGAAGAGGAAGAATGAGGGTCTGAAATTTCGGGGGCCAATTGGCTCTGTACAAGAAGACTTACCAACAGGAAGAGGAAAGAGGTTGACGCAGACATCCATTAGAAGTTTTGTGTCTGCTGCCACTTGAGCATTCTGCTCATGCAAAGGTTCCTGACGTGCACCAGTTATGGGTTGAACTTGTGCAGGGGCAAGAGATTTTTAAGCCGCCGGAATTGATTTCGCAGATTTTGCTACGTCAGGAAAGCATACATGGGCATGGCATTGTCCCAATGCAGCTTAAGCAACTTGCCGTTTATTTGAGGATTTGCAGGCCATTCTGTCGCTTTCGGACACTCAGTTTTCATATGGTTTGACCAAGATAGTCTTGATCGGGTGCTGTGCCTTCCCCTGGGGCAAGTCCCATCTCCAGTAAGGTTGGTTTGACTACCGTATCATATTTGGAGCCATTTTGATTATCATGCTTGGTGAGAATGCTGTTCCGAGCAAAACAAGATATTCTGATTAAAGGAGTCCAATAATTTGAAGGGTTGTGTTCAGACTAACTTGAATATTTGAGTTGTCAATGTCAATATTTGAGGTGATATGCTTCAACAGTGCTTGCAATAGTCTTTCACTTACCGGTACATCGATTGCACATGATTTCATGACAGTTACTCCCAACGACGTGTAATACCATGAGATATATAGTCATCCCTGTGTCAGTCAGACATCTTTTTGTTTCCTGAGAAGAATTTTGAGATGATTCATAAACAAGCATGCACCACCTACTATTAAAGATTTGAAAGACTTAGAGTATTTGTTCTTTAGTAATTTCAGTTAAGAAAATACTGATATTATTAAAAAAATTTACTGGTAGTGAGAAGGGTAATGCTGGTTGTACTTTCAAAATCTTACTAGAGCTTTCAACAAGCACCCTGGCACCCATGAAGATCTTCAGTAGCCCAGGCTTGCCATAAAAGGCAACTAACGAGATCGGGTGGTCAGGCTTGCTGACTTCGTTGACACGTTGTCATATCCAAGTTGTGTGGATCGATGCTTATGCTGCTGATCACTGGATTGTCTGGTCAAGACATGATTATTTACAGGCCGCCACCATATAGCTGGAATATTGCTGAGTGTGGTGTAAAACTTAATGCACTCACTACAAGGAGCCTAAGTTAACGATTTTTCCAATTTAAGAAAGAGATTGGTACATTTTTCATTGAAAAAAATGTGTTACAAATGCTGTTTATGTGAATCTATCCAAATTTTTCTCTGCAGATTTCAGTCTGTTTTTTTAAGTGTTGCTGAGGTTTCAAATCAGATAAAAAATTACCATTAACAATATAAATATTACCGGTAGTTGTGGTTCACTCAGTTCTGCTCACATAATAATATGTAGTTGCCACTTAAAGTTAAAAGAGAACAGACTTATCCTTCAATCACCTTTAGAAATTGTTTTAAAATTAATATATAGCATAGAAAATATAAATGTTATCATATTTTCCTAATCTATCATTCTGGCATATGTTTCTTCAAGTTCTGTTAAATCTTGATACAGAATATCCCATTTATCACCAAGGTGCGTAGTCTTACATGACCTCAGTGCATTCAGTTCTGTGGGCTAATAATGGGAGCTGAATCACCTCAGTCCTCATCATCATCTCTTTTAATTGCAAGACCACCTCCGTGGTGTAGTGGTTTGAGCATCCGCCCAGAGAGCGGAAGGTTGCGGTTTCGATCCCCGACCACGTCATACCAAAAGACGTTACAATATATGGTACTTGTTGGTCCCTGCCTAGCGCTCGGCATCAATGGGTACAACAAGGACTGGTTGGCTCGGAGTCAGAATAATGTGTCTGAGTGGGGTATTCATGCTTTACTGCTGCATGGTATCTCAGTGGGCTAGCACTCACTATAAAACCAGCTTCAGTCTGGGCTAGTACAAACAGCCGCTCATACACATACACACGCATGCACGTCGTAATATGAGCGAAGTATTTTCAAGCACGAATTTAAACCCAATTTCACCTCACCTCACCCTTTACTTGCAGATTTCAGTTGTGTTTTTAATCCTTTATCTATTATGCTAACATTGCCTGATCTAGTTAGCGTTTCACCAAAGATAGAATCTTGTCTTTCCTTTCTGCTATTTCAATATATTGTAAACAAAGGGGAGATAACTCTCACTTACCCGTCTCCTGTGCGCTTGAGTGTCCAAAATTCAAGTTCAAACCTCATGTCATGATATTGTTTCAATTTTAACTTTCACTATTTACCTTCTTGTACATGTCAGTTGTATGTTTTCCAAGGTTTTATACCTGGACTTATTTTCACATAGACAAAAATTAATTGAAAAATACCATTTTTCATAGTTTGGCCCCCCAAAAGCCACTTAGTATCAACATCCAAGGGAGGATATTGTTTACAAAACTATTGTAAATGATATAAACACAAAAGATATTCTGTACCAATTTTTTTGAGGTTCAGTGATTTTTTTCCCACTTATTTTACTGGAATCCCACATGAAACTCAACATTACAAAAGTACTGTACTTTACTGAGAAAGTGTAATCCCAAATGTAACATACACTGCATATTCCTTAAGTAGTGATATAGACCCTCAATAACATTTCCTAAGTTAGAAAGATAGATCTTTCAAATATGAAAAGTAATCTTTCAGGACTGAATCATGAATCATGAAATACACTAACACTAATTGTCCAGCTGATTAATGCAAATGATTTAAGAACTTACGCATTACATAAACGATTTCTTCAGACGGTTGTCCATCTGCACCATCAATACATGTCCACAAACCAGCATCCAAAAATGTAGTGTTTGCTATCTCCAACACATTTCTTGTGGTAGTGGCTACAGGATTACTGTATCCTGAACTTGGCAGACAATTTGTAGCACCTGCACATGAAGATACCAAAGTTTTATCAGGCCTGATCCACTGGACACCAGTTTTCAATGTCCCAGCTATGTCACAGGAAATATTCTGTGTTCTGTACAGTTCCATGTTTTGCAGTACAGAGGCATCAATGGTTGTGACAGCCTGCCCTGTAAAATATAGACATTGATCAAATAATGATTAAATTTTGTATAGGAGATTGAAATTAAGTGAGTCATCATGTCATTAAGGTTTTCTCATACAGTATTTAAATCAAGAAACCATTTAAATAATGTCTAACATTAGGATTCTGATACACAATCGTAATTTCCAAACTTAATTCCAAAAACTGCACAACATACATTTTACGCCACACTCAGCAATATTCCAGCTATATGACGGCGGTCTGTAAGTAATCGAGTCTGGACCAGACAATCCAGGGATCAATACCATGAACATTGATCTACGCAACTGGGATACGATGACACGTGTCAACCAAGTCAGAAAGTCTGACCACTTGATCCCATTAGTCACCTCTTACTACAAGCATGGGTTACACAAGATCTGGATTTGATAAAGTATCTACCAGTCTGATATATTAGTTAGATATGTCAATGTTTGGTTGATGGATGGCTTAAGGATAACTAGCAGTGTCATTTAATGACAGGAAGAATTTGATGGTACCAAATCAAGTCTCCAAAAGGGACTAATGAAAGTAACTAATTATTAAGATTGGATATGAGTCATTTTTGTATGACGTAGGACATTATTTCGGGGGGGAGGAGTCAAAATTGTCAGAGAACAGTTTTGTCACAGTAGCGATTCTGGGCCCCACCGTTAACTAGAGAGGTTCTCTCTGTATATTGAGAGAATAGCACAGATGAATTGATGGTATTAAGAGTTCAACAAGAAACCATCAAGTTCTTCCAGAAAAGTTTGTGATCTAATGTTGTGTGTAATTCAGGAGAACTAGGTAGTTTCTGAGGACCTTTGTGTGAGAATAGCCATCTGCAATTCAGACAGCCTCAGCCAAGAAATTCATTACCTAAAGCACACCTTCAGCGCCCTCAACGGTTACCCTAAACAGCAACTAGAGAAGACCATATGCAAAACCCTGGTGTAACCTGGTTCTTTTGATTTGGAACTTCTCGCAGGTGGCCGGCAAACAGGAACAATCGAAGTCAAAACTTCGTGGATCGTCTAGTGGTTTTTATTTAGTATCAACGGTTTAACAATTCAGATACTTAGCAAGCGTGCTGTAAGTAATTCTGAATGTCCGGGAGCGCAGCGACCTCTGACCACTTAACGTTAGTCCCGCAAACCGTCTCCCCGAACCTAACTTTTCCCCCTAGTTTTATCCCCAAACTTTCCTACATCAAAGACCATAATTCATCAAATCAGAAGTCCAGAACATGACTGTTTTGCTGGACTGTCCTTTAGATGTCATATGCTATACCTAATTATTAAGCCTTGATTGACTACAAGCCCCTATACTAGTGACAGGTAACAAGGCTTATACCTAGCTGCCACTGTCCCTTGGCTCTATTAATCCCCTGCTACATTACCCCTTGTCCACTGTGACATGGTCCGAGTCGTATTCTCCCTCTGACCATGGCCCCAGAACTCAATTACAACTTGGTACACCGTCCGATGTCACCCCGCCTCGGACATCCCATTAATATCTATAATCCGTTACTATCTGCGCTCCCGGTTCTCACGTACAACTTTCCTTTACAGTTAAATACACAGTTAACACACAATTTATAAATTCATACATATTACTGCATGCACAACCATAAAATAATATAACATTAATCAACAATAATACATATTCTTATTATTATTAAATTAAACCGGAGAGTGTAGCTCCCGGTTACAATCTTCCCCTTCTTAGGGTAAGAAAATACTACACCGTAGAATTTTCTTGCATATCAGTATATTACTAATCCAATATATTAACAGTTCAGTCTGTTCACCCGTCGAGGTTCTTGGTATGATGACATTGGTGAGTTCAGACACACTTAATATGGAAGGACTTCACAGCTTCAGTCCTACCTTCCACGGTGTATTCACCCAAGCGTCTGTCATCTCATATAATTAATGTTCATACCACTCAAGTGACCAATAATAGTCAAGTTATATACAGAGTCCTTTACAATGTCCAATATGTGAATTTTGCCGTCACCGCCAATACGCACATATATATTTTCAGTAATATACATGAATTCCGGTTCCGCACAACACAATCTTGATGATTTCCATATAGAATCACATTTCAAGCACATACACCAGTCGTAAAGACATCCTTGAATCTGTCTCTTGAACTCCTCCATCAGTTCACCAGTCGGAACGACCCAGCACTCTCAGTAGATTTCGTCGTAAGATCAAGAGGTGCCAGGGGGCTTATCTCACCCTCTAGCTCTCTCTCTTGCTCGTTCGTTTCTTCCCTCAGGCTCTCGCCTGGGGACGCTGATCGTTTTCTTTTCCGACCTGTTATCCGTGGTGTTGGTCTCGGGATGGTTTCCGGAACATACATTCGACAGGATTCAGCAAAGGCATGACTGGTGCTTGCTCGAACTCTTGGAACGGACGGACGGGCTATCTCTCTCAGCTCTACCAGATTATTTTCAATTCGTTCGTTGGCTAGATTCTTAGCGCTACACCTACTTTTTAAATATATAATTATCAGTACTAGTATAACAATTGCTACTACACAAACCCCAGTAAGGATATACCAAACTAGCAAAGTGGATGATAGAAAATTCCCATCATAATCTTCAAACTGTATATCCTGTTCAGCCTCATCTAATTCATTCATCAACTGATCAATGCCATCATTCTCCTTTTCTTCCAACGGTTTATATGTTATAGGCTCAAAGGTGGTAGTAGCAAAATGGGAGACCGGTTTCGGGAGTCGAAATGGTATACAATTCCAAATTTAGTTCTTTATGTAGGCTTGGTCGGATTTTATATTGTGATTCAGGCCTCAAGTAAACGGGTAGACTGAAATGAGTAGAGTGAGCTGCGCACCTGATAGGTATTTCAGTTACGCTCGTCCCTGGTTTCACTTCAATAACGGTAGACGAATCAGAATCAGGAGGTAAACAGGTCAGTTCTACATCTAAGCTATCCTTTGTAGAAATTAGCCACTGGCCTTTTGTTAGCGATTTTATAACCGGGAAGGTTTGGTGATTTCTGAATATTTTGCTTACAATTCTTCCGAATGTCTTCAAATTTTTGTAGAAATAGGGAAGTGAGACAGCCCGGCACGGTATTGGTGACATAGGTAGCTGCAATCAGCGGGCAGTAGGTAATATCTTGCTGAATACACTCATTTACCTCAGTTTTATCTAACATTGTATATTTTCCTTTATCAGGTGATATAGCTAAATAAGGTGTTTCAGTTATAAAAGTATATGTTGCATTCCCTGACTTGTCAGGAGTTGGCACCATTACCATCTTATATAATTCAAAGTACGTAGATACTTGGAGTAAAGGTATTATTATTATTACATGAAATGAATTCCGATCGGGTAAAAGAGTTGTTCTAAAATTTTGATAATAACGTTGTAAATTCTCCTTGCTAACTACGTAGGGTAATCTAAGACTAGGTGGTAACTTCCGTTTGAGAGTCAATAAAGCCCTTTTTAGTGCATGTTCAGGAATTAACATTCTTGAATTTTGGCCTCGTAGACAACGTTGTACTTGTCTAAACATTTCTTGTAAAGTTGCGCCAAGAGCACTTACAGCATTATCCAGTAAGTGAAACACAGCGTGAATTTGTCCCACTGTTTCCGTGTAGGATAATAAGGGTCTCAAACCTAAACTGATTCTATCATACAAATCATAGATCTTTGTCGGCATAGCTACAGTAATATTTCCTATCCTTTTCATAATTGCGCGATTCACTTGTATGTCTGTGTTCGTAACGTTCAGTATAGTTAAACTGTGTTCCAAAACATGAATAACCTTCTCCTGGCTCTCTTTTATGGAATTTATATGTAGTCTTACTTTATCCATGTCATCTTGACTTGCTGTACCAAATAATTGAGATAAAAATCCACCTACGTTCAGTAACGCTCTCTTCTGTCTTCTAACCTTTTGTGTCGTAGTAATAGTTCGTAGCCTGTCATAAATGTTTCTAAACCTATTGTATTTATCCAAAATCTGCTGACTTTCCTTAGTTAGTAAGGCCTTAATACTTGTGTGTACATACTTAGTTATGCCCTCGTATTTACCTTTCGGAATTCGTAATTCATTCACTGTATTTTTAAAAATGCCTACATTGTCCCTAATTGTATCAAGCTGTCGGTCGTACGGTCGTAGGTCCACAGTAAAGGATACTAACCATGTACTGTAAGAAGCATACACGTCGTTTAAGTGCACAAATTTCACCCCTGGCAATGTCATCCCTTGTTGTATAGTCGACATCAATAAAACTAACCCTGATAGCAATAGAGCTGAGAGAAGCCCTCCTCCCATCTGTAATGCAAAATCCATCACATTATATCCCCTCACTAACACGTTACTACACAAATTGGGTAACACGATTACATATCATTATATACAGATTTCACGTATACCCAATTCCGCCATACTACATGTGTATGCAGAGACTTAACCAGTTAATTTACTTATCTTGGTGTGATAGCATCCTTGCTGATCATACCCTGATCCTACTGACTCAACATGCTAGTCATTCGGATCCCTACTCTGTCAATTTATGCATATTAAATTGAAACGTGAGTTTTCTTTTCTTAGCACCTTTACCAAAGGCCTATCATTCTCATCAGTTTACTGGTTAGTCCAGAGTTCTGAGGTTCAGAAACATTCTCCGAATCCAAAAACTCTATTTCGGTTTCGTCTGAAGAACCTGTGTCCGTCCTTGCCCTTTTTCCGTCTGTATTCGTCAGAGGTGATGAGACCACCCTCCTCTTCAGACCTTCCCTACATGATCTGGGGTCATCTACGTCTAGAGCCTCGTCAGTAGGTGTGACTGCTGACCAATGTACGAGCGGCAACTCGTCCTCTGTATCGTACGAACTGTCACTACCTAGATCAAGTTCGTCATTATTATTCGTCCTTGGTTCATCTACGTCAGCATCGTTCATATCAAGAGGTCCTTGACCATGTACAGGTGTATCATTAACACCTGTCATTTGGTCGTAAT